CCCATCTGTATCCACAACCTGGCAAGCCATACCTAATAATCCAGTTAAAGATGTGTGTTTGAAACCAATGCTATGAAGTGCTTTTTTCATATTTTGCTTAGAGAAGCATGGTAAATAACTTTTCTGTTATAATTTGTCATTAAAAATTGGAAACTTTTAGCTGCTCCCTCATTTCCCAATGGATCACCACAGCAGATGGATCCATGTGTTTGATTTAGCACAGATTTTACACCAGAAGTCTTTCCTGACACAACACTCCCATTAATCAGACCAGGCATCACATGAGCTTGTGATCTCTTCTCTTAAATAGGTAAAGAAAGATTTGTTGAGGGAATTTTAGTTTGTAGAAATGATTGATTGATTTCATGAAGGAAAAAATTAGAAGTCACTTAGAAAAGATCAAAAGAAAATGTAAAAAATGGGATGGCTGTAGCTCAGGTAGAGCAGGTCATCTACCAATCTGAAGGTTGGTGGTTTAATCCCCGGCTGCTTCAGTCTGCATGCAAACTATCCTTTTGTAAGATACTAATCCCAAGTTGAACGAGTGAGTGTGAGAGTAGAAAGAATTTGCTTGTATGAATTGAATAGTTGTGAATGTTTGAATGAGGTAAGTTGTATAAAGTGCTTTGAGTGCTCAGATAGAGTAGAAAGCTCTATATAAGAACTATTCCATTTACCAAACTAATCATTACAACACTTTTCAAAATGACGAGGACATTATCTGTTCAAATACTCAAAGGTCAGCTTCACTGTTCTGCAGCAGTTATTTTTAATCACCAAGGAGAGACTGTGACCATATTTCACAGTTGGTCTGGTCCAGAGTAAGTGACACTAATCTTTGACGTCCCACTTATTAAATATCTTCAAGCTCTTAATTACAGCAAAGATTGTTTTAAGTTGTTGGCTGAAGCATATAAAACAGCACTGCTGTATTATTATATCCACTATGTGGTTTTTTTGTTGCATCTCTGGTAAGAAAGAAAAGATAGAACCTGAACTAGAATCAAGTTAAAGAACGTTTCTATTCTGTGCCTACTTGCAGTTATCTTCCAGCTGAAAACATGGACTTCTTTTTTCTCAGCTTTGTTTTTTAAGCTGTATTATTGTTATTATTATTATTATTGTGCTGTTTGCAGAACGGCATGATTTTATGATTTGTGTGAACGCTGCTGCACTGACCGTTTCTATATTTGGCTCCTGGCTGTTGGCCAGCAAGCCAACCTGTGTGATCCACAACATCTTGCTCTGTGCTGAAATTTTAAAAGAAGAAGATATGTAATCTCTTTTACACTAGACATTGTATTTCACAGACATCCCAAAGGAAACACAGATAAAATAGACCCGTAAGGGAGCAAAAACAACAACAACAACGTGGGAAGATGTTTAACTAAAAGAACTTCCATAAGAGTTTCTGGTCAGTGACTCACTGACTGTCTGGTGAAGCAAGTTGTTTACAGAACTTTTTAAAAAAGTAGATGCTGAATAGTAATTGTCATTTCTCATTGCAGGTCACTTCATGTTTATATTCAAGAACAGCAGCAGTCTGTATCCAAATGCTGCTCTCCGAGGACCGCGGTTCCAGCAATCGGCTGCTGCCTGCACCATGACCTTCTGGTTAGAGTCACACTACTTTAAAGCCAGCACATCACAACCAGTCTTCATTTCTTTGTCAAGCCCACAAAGTAGTTTGACAAGATTCATTGCTATAAAAACAGAATTGTTACATCTATAGAGTCACGCTTTTCCACTTGCTGTCTCTCTGCTTTCTACTACTTGTTTGATCTCGTTCTTACCTCCACTCATCATTTTACCTGTCTCAGTTTTGCACTCTAAGCATATCTCATCTTTCACAATCACACACAATAAGAAGTATCTGAATCTGTCCTGTTCTGACAGTTTTATGGCCCCTGAAGGTTTATGTCTAATAACAGATTATAGTTTTCCCCTGGGTGATTGGAGAAGTTTTCCAGGCAGAAAGCAGGAGCTTTATAAATGGTCATTTTTTTTCCTTCAGTGTCCTCAGGTATTATGACCATTGAGTATTTTCACTACAGTATGTGGATGAAGGCAAAGGTTTCAGGTATAGCACGAGGGAATGCATCCATTCAAAATTAACATTTTGTCTTCCATCACTGTCTTATTCCCCTCAGGCATTATAATTCAGGGATATCTGTGGGAGCTGCTGACATGTCACTTAGAATCAAAGGAGTTGAAAACCACACTGTCATATGGAGAACATTGTACGACCAAGGACCCCACTGGAACCAGGTCACTGTACAGCTGGGACGCATCACCCAGCCTTTCCAGATCTCCCTGGCTAAAATCAGCCTCGGTGTGTTCGATGGAGTCGCCGCTCTAGACGATATCGCTTTCAAGAACTGCTCTCTGCCTCCGGCGGTGGATGAGTGTCCGCCCCACACACATTTCCACTGCGTGCACACCAAGGCATGTGTGGAGCATCTGCAGCTCTGTGACCTTGTGGACGACTGTGGGGATGGATCAGATGAGGCAGGATGTTGTGAGTGTCTTTGATGTTTGTTCTGGATCAAAAGTAAAAGTACTCGTCATAGTGTTGCGTCAGTGTCTACAGAGCATTCCCCTGTCTTAGCTTGTTGAGATGAAGCTACTTCATTTAATTTCACTTGCAACAGATTTGCAACAGTCTTGGTTTATAAATGCAGAAATAATAAACAAGTTTAATCTGAGGCATTCAGCTCATAAAAATATCTGTTTCTTTTTCCAAGAGGACTATATTCTTTGGTGGAGGAAGTGTTCAGATATTTTACATAAAGCTGCTCATCTCTAATTTCACACATTAAAATCTGTTTGCAGGTCCTGGGTAGCGTTACTGCAGATATGAAAAAAGTTTTTAAAAGTTGCATAAAGCATTTTGAAGCTCCTTACTTCTGCTTAACGCTACATTAGCTGCTGCTGCTGTGTTAAAGCAGTAGATCTGAAATGGCACTGTCTGTGGCGAAGTTAAACTATGGGTAAAACGTAGTCATGCATTCTCAAGTTCAACTAGTAGACTGTATATGAAAATATTTATTATTTTCATGTGTGGCCAGTAGACTCTGCTGCACTGATTCTGGCACTTTTTGTGTGTTTATCAATGTTTATCAATGTCAGTCTGGAAAATTCAAGTTTTCTTAAGGGTAGATAAATACAATTAAATGGACAAAGACAAGATGTTGATTGCTTTTTATTGCTTTATATTGTTGTAGTTTTGTGTGTAGTGAATTTCTCTCTGTCATGTGTCACAGCTCCAGAGCTGCAGTGTGACTTTGAACATGGGCTGTGTAACTGGAAACAGGAACAGACTGGAGAAGATGTTTTTGACTGGACCATCTACCAAGGCTCGACTCCATCCTTTAACACAGGCCCTTCGAAGGACCACACTTTGGGCACCGTCTATGGCCACTACCTCTACATTGAGGCATCTGCCCCTCGGGAGTTCAAAGACACGGCGGTGTTGCTCAGTCCAGTCTTCAAACCCACCCACCACGATGGCAAGCCGTACAACCACTGTGCTTTCCGCTTCTATTACCACATGTTTGGAAAATATGTGTTCTACCTGGCGGTGTACTTGAGGACCACTGCTACAGGCCGTGGCCAGATGCTGTGGGTGAAATATGGACATCAAGGAGACCTCTGGCACAGGAAGACTCTTTACCTCAGCAGTGCTCAGCCTTTCCAGGTTAGCTAATGGTAGCATTTACATAGACATCATTATAAAGCAGTGTGGCATTTTCAGTGAGGTATTTATTGTTTCACGTTTGTGGGATTTTTCTTGGATGTTTTAACCTTTAAGCATCATTTTAAGAGTATAATTGGTAAAACATGCGATGTGCTCAATTTAATCTATGACTGTTGTTTTAAAAAACGGACTTTCAGACAGTACACTCAATACATGGCAAAATGAAAATACAGAAATAAGAAGAAAATATCTCAAAGTTCTGCTTACACAGTGGTTAAGATATAACTCTTAGGTAAACCCTGTGATGTTACAGTCTTGGCATCCCATTGTGAGTCATTTGCTTTTGGCTCCAAAGTAGATATGCACACATAAGCTCTAGGTAAAAACAGTTCCCTTTGCAGACAACGCTGAGACATTAGTGAAGCAAAGTGTCTGCATGGAGTGCACTCCACTATTGCGTGATCAAGATCCATTTAATAGCTTCACTGCTTAACATCGATCCCTCAAGATGGATGTTCTGTTGTCATTACTCATGAGTGAGTATAACTTGACAGGCAGTTAAAGACTTTTGCTCTGCTATGGCAATGAAAACAGGAACTCTGTGTGTCAAGTCAATTGACTGCAGAAAGGGCAAAAGTGGGAGAAAAACAGACACTGATGAATTAAATTCAAATTCAGAGTGATCCATTTGCTCCCAGTGCAGGCAAAGTGCCATGAAATGACAAACTCTAAAAACCGGGCATCTGAATAGTCGGTTGTGTCAAATTCATCCTTTTACATTTCCATTAAGAGTTAATGTGGTCAATGTAAGAACAAAAAGACATACATTATTGCATTACCTGCTTAAATCATCCAAATGTGATAATATGAAAACTTAAACTATTAAGGTGCCTTATTCTGCACGTATGTAGTATCTTATAGAGGCAAAATTATCTGTAAAAACATTTCTGTACTTTTCACGTTCAAGCTGTTTTCTTTTTAAAACCTGATAAGAATCTTTGTATTCGAGTATTTCTAAATGATACTTCCCTTTTTTGCAGTCACAAGCATGCAAGTGACTGCTGAAACAACATCTCTGAGAAAATTGTTTAAAAAAGGGGAAACACATATAACCTGGATAACTGAATGCTTTCTATAAGAAAAATTCAAGTCAATAATTAAATGAAGACATATGCTTCTAATTTATTGGCATTTCGACAGTTTTAGATAAAGGAGGCTTTTGCCAAGTGTTGATAATTGTTAATTTGCATTGTTGAGCCACTAATATATCGAATCAAGTTGTCCGTTGTAGGTACCAAGGTGTTACGTTAGCAGAAGGTGAACTAGCTTCCCCGTGACAATCGAGCCTTAAGCTACATCTCAAACATTCTGTTTTTAGGGACTGTCGGGAATATGTAATCTTATGTTTGCTTTGAACTTAGTTAACTAAATGTGTATTCCCTGACCAGTTGGTGAGTGGTTGCAGGAGGTTGCTCTATATTGCAACAAAAACCTCCATGTAAACTTGCTTTGGTTGCTAGCAGATTGCTGCTGCCACTCAAAAACTTGAGAATTAGTGCCTTACTGTTAAGCAATAGTAAGGCACTAAGCAAGAGCTTAGAAAGAAAAGCCTCCAGACTTTTTTAAGTTTCTTGAAGACGTTTCAACCTGTGATCCAAGAAGCTTCTTCAGTTCTAAGAGCAATTGGTAGAGCGTCCCAGATTTTTAAGCCATATTGGGAGTGTCCCTAACAGGGTCGTGGACCAACTATTGATCCTCTGCCTAATCACACGAGTCAAGGTGGGAAAACGGTTGTGGGTAACGATCAGCCAAGGTTTCAGGTGAGCCAATTGTGAGACCTTGCCCCACTCATGTGACTAACCCTAAGTCACATGATAGGCTTGTGTGATTAGGCAGAGGATCAATCGCGAGGTGGTTTCTGGTGCACCACCATGTACCTATTTGTGACCAGTTTCACCTTGTCAACTAGTCCCTAGGCCTCTGTGCCTGAGGCCTTACAGAACGAACACACGAAGCTAATGTTAGCAAATTTTAGCATGTTGCTCAGACTGAAGGTGATATGATTAAACATTAAAAAAATTTTTTTTCAATGTTTCTTCCGTAAAACTTGTGTGTAATCTGTCTGTGTGCAATCTTTTCTGCGGTGGCCCTGAAAGGCCAAACGGACTGCAACTTAAGAAAACACCAGCAATAAGAAAAATGCTGCAAAAGCACACAAAACACAATGGAAATAGGAAAAACGACAACGGAAATAGGAAAAATTCAAAACAGAAATAGGAAAAACGAAATAGGAAAAAACACAAGGGAAGTGTTTCTGGGGAGACAATAACCCGACGGACCAGTTGCAGGAACACAAAACATGGTAGGTGTGTTTTATCATGATTCATATAATACTGATGATGAATTTTTAGGCTAATAGTTAGGCTAACACCATTGGCGTAACTTTGTGCT